ACATTAGTTTTTCTTGAGGTTAGGCACAAAGTTGATAGTGCTGGGCGTTGCAAAAGGACTTGTATGCATATGTATGTTTATTATTGTATAAATCAGGGGATAAGCTTGCATATAAATTTTTACTGTTCAGTTGAATGCGGCCGGGATCCAGCTCTGGCTGGTTTGCCCTTGTAGAGGCGCACTACCTGAGCTAAACGAACACTCGGCCACCACATAAACTCATATGTAAAATTGTTGTTCTGCATAGTTTAAGGATTATAAAATGTATTTGCAGCAGCAACATTAACGAGCCCAGCAAGTACAACAAAAGCAAAACCTGTGGCAATAATATCGCAGCCAAGCGCAACTTTTTTGTCCAATTCAAACTTGAGCGTTGCCTGAAAGAGGGATTCGAATGTGTTGCGTATGTGCATGTGTAGTTTGGGGTGTTGCGATTGTTGCATTGCTGTTATATTTCAATGGCAAACTTCACCGGACATGCTTCATAGCTCTAATTATACATGCGCCTTCCTAGAAACGACTTCCTACGAGAGGTGCACTAAGAATAACAAAAGCTATTGGGGTTGTTTCTGTTGTTGTGGCTGTTGTTGTTGCAACAAAGTGTATGCATGTATGTTGTGTTTTTCTTGCTGTGTGTTTGTGTTTAGAAGCAACTTTGGCCCTCTGCCAGCGTCTGCAGTGGTGAAAAGGAAGCGGGTCGTATGTGCAAGTTAGCCCATTTCTTTTATTTTTATACCCAATACAAGCTATGCGTGTGTGTGTGTGTGTAACTTTTGTTTGGTTTGAACTCCTGAGGTGGCCCGAAAACTTTGCATGTCTGCTTGGTAATTCATGGATTGCTGTTCATGAGGTGGCGGTTTGGGTCGTCTCTCTCTTGATTTGATTAGCCGACAACCACAACACAGTTCGGCGGACCAGTAAATAAATTTATGTATATTTTCCAAGCATAAAATATGGCATTAAAACTTAATGTGCGGCTCCGAGCACGCAACGAGGAAGAAGCAGAATATAATACACAAAAGGGCAGCATATAAAGACATTATTCGAATGTTGAATACAAATTGCTGACTAAATTACAGGCTGGCTAATAAGCCGTCCAGCCCAGATAATTACGTGCTGGCGTCTTCTATTTGCCACCCTGATTAACGAAGCCGCATTAGCATATTTTTCTATTTCAAAAGTTGTGACAAATCACTTTATTGACATTTTTTTATGAAGCGGCGAGTTGCGGCTTCTTAAGCTTTACGTAAACAATCAGTCTCAAATGGAAAATGCCTGCTTTAAGGCGTGCCCACGCCCTCAGTGCGCGAGCTTAAGATTGACGCGCCATTTACGTGCCACAGAAACATTTTTCTTCCTTCCGCGTGTCTTAATTAACAGTCCCACATATCAAACCATTAAAAATTGCCCGACCAAAGTCTAGGCATAAATTTATGTTTTCTAGATAAAGGCTGCCAGTTAAGACGACAACAGTGCCATTGTCTTTGGACTAGTTCGTGCGACGGTGGATGCTAATGAACTGCGCCAGCCTATGGGGCGGTAAGAACAATGCCACGATGCTGCAAGCAAGGGCAAAAGTTTGCACAACAAACTTATCGATTTGGTACTATAATAACGCACAATAGGAAAGAGCACATCGAAGTTTTCAAAGGTTAATGGATGAAATGTGTAAAAGTTTGCCATTTTCCTTTTTGAATATGCTTGACTATATCTAAGCAATTTCCTCTTATAGACGTTTGCATTTTTAAAGTGACCGAGTCGTTAAGGCAATGGTTACGATGTTGGCCAGTGTATTTGCAAGGTTCGGTTGATATTGCACTAATTTGAACTGTAATTTATGAGTAATTTTATGCGAAAATATACGTAGGCAACAACTACAACTAGGCATACGCATACCATCATCTGGGTCCACATAATTTAATGGCATTTAACCATCCAATCGTTTATGTATATAATGCAGCTTGTGTGCACTTTGTTGTCAAATAGCTACATCATAATATGCATCGCTGGTTGGTTACCTTCGCATTCAGCGTGGCACTCTTCTGGTGAGCATGTGGCACTCGTTGTATGCTAATTGCCGCATAATTGTGGAAATTTTGTGGGCATGCTGCTGTGCAGTCAGGCGAACAACGTAATTGGTCCAGCTAATTGCGGGACGGCACTTGCTTCGAAATTGATTTAGAAAGTGGGCTAGTGAAGTAAAATGCAAGCTCTACGATTAAGGCCATCTGCAAAAGCTGAGCGGGGGCGTCCCAAAAGCCTGTAGCGAAAACTGTATCATTTTGCTACTAATTTGGTCAGTTCTGACATCGACTGGCGTTCTGCTATTCAGAGCCAAACGAGCGATTTTGCATGCAAAATGCGGTCAAAATGCGGCCAACAGCTGTTGGAATCATAACAATGTCATTACGCCAATGACAGAAAAGTTAAGTGACGCCGACGACTCTCCCGTCGTTTGGACCCGCAGACAGTAAGCATCGCATGGCATGCATAATGTTATAGCGAACACTTTTGGCGGATGCCACACCCAGTTGCTACCCGGTCACTGCAGCATCATTACACAGCCAGAGAGGCCGAAGTTGTTGCGACTTTATTGAATGCCTGACGTTCACTGACATTTTTCATTTTCGAATTTATTGTTGCTGGTCAAGCTGGACGCAAATTTTCTAATTGCCGAGCGAGGAAAACAGTGCCGTGCACTAATGGAGATTTTGACCGGTTATGAGATTGCCTTTAGATCGTATGGGTGTTGGCCTTCGGCAGAGTCCATTTGTGGAGCTTGGCTTAAATTTATGTAGATTTTCAGTCAAGACCATTCAGCCATCTCATGCTTATATTTCATGCGCCCTCTATTAGCCGAATTCATGCAGTCGCAATGGCCGAGATTGATTTATACAATCCATGGCATGCCCTCAGCCATGGATTGCACGCGGACTCTTCGTTGGACATAACGTACTCAGCCGTACCAAATGGAAATTGAATCAATATTATGCAAATAGTTACCGTGGGGGCAGGCCGCTTGTCCGTGTGCTAAGGCTTCCGTCTCCACATGTGTCGCACTGCTCCCATTTTTTTTTCAATCGTCGTCCTATTATTTCGTTGTACTCCATTTCGCTTCGCTCCATGTACCATAACAGTGCATATTGATTTGCCATTAATGGGTGAAATCGGCCTGGAGCGGGCAAGTGGGTCACCAAAGCAGCATATAGCCATCGAGGCAAACAATCGATATATTGCACGTGAATGCCTGAATAGTATTCTACAGTAAATTTATGTTTTTTAGTGTATTTTATTGTGATATTTTTTCAAGCCTATGGGCGCAATCTGCAAAACAAAGCATAATACTATTGTGTTCAAATAAATATTTCTCTAGAATCTCAGAACTTAATAGTGGTAGTAAATAGTTTTGCTGGCAATGATATTATTTTTCCATCGTTGCCCTACAATTTCCAAAAACACGGCATTTATATTTGCTGTGCAACACATTTTAATTAAAATTTCGCTGAGAAAACTCATCAGAAACTTCTCGTTTCCACGAAGCTGTCAGAATTTACCGTGTTCTCATTAATCATAGCTGTTAAAAACTAATTTAATACAACTTAAATCAAATGCAATTGCTCTTGTTGTTGTTGCTGTTGCAGTGCTGCAATTTAGTCATGCACTTCCGCATGACGCACACACACTTAAGGACACGCACACCCGTACACACGCGTGTCGATTGGGGCGTCATAATTACCAACACCCAACATCGCCCATATTTCGGCCAGTCCACCGCGCCTAGCTGGGGCAAAATAAATTTATTAGCTATGCAATCATTGGCAATAAATTTTTGCCCACTTCCTGCCAGGAGCGAAAGGGCCGCCAGCGTCGCCAGACTTCAGCCAGCGAGCTCTGGACATGTTTAAATGGCACCGCTTATGCAATGCATGCTATATATTAATCTTAGACGTCCTGCAAAGGTGCAGGAACAGATTAGAGTGGTCAGATTGCTGTCGGAAGAGGTTTCCTGGCCCACGCACGGCCGTGGTTTGTGGGCGCGTCCTTTGACGCGCTTGCGTGCGGTTCTCTTTCTTTTATTATTTCTGTTTCCATTTTTTCCGCATTTATGCGAGACTTTTGCGTGCGCTTGTATTTATGTGCACCGCATAAAGTTTACTTCATCATCAAATTGGGTAAGTCGCAATGGAAACGCCTGTGCGGCAAATAAACGGAAAATATTTTTACGCGCACACCGAAGAGTATGCACGGTTTTTTTTTTTTTGCAGCCGCCATTTTGTACGTGCGACTTCCGCTGCATGTGTCCATGTGAGCGTGCGTGTGCCGCGCACTGGGGTTTTGGTTTGCGCAGAACATTTGTACGTGGTATTTTAACTTTGCTTCTATTGTATTCTGTATAAATTTTATATGTTTTATTTTGTTGCAAAGAAACGGGTGTAGCAGCAACACCTGCACCGAAAAAGTTTGCTGCGGTTATACAGGTGTTAATGTTTATTATTTAGCCAGAGTGCGTGTCAGCTGTAAATAAAAGCAAATATGATTAAACATGCTCGTGTGAGAACCGACCCAAATACAAAAGACGCTTGACGCTTGTTTTCACATTTATATTTCAAACACTCAAGAGAGAAATAGACAGAGTGAGCTTGCTTTATTTATGCCACATTATATGTAGTTATATTAGCTGCCGCTTTTGGCATGTCATTTTTTAGTTTTAATGATCTACTTCAAACAAGTCAAAGGATGTTGTATTTCGAAAATATTAATCTAAATATCTTTACTACAAATAAAACTGCTTAATGATGAATTTATTTTTAACTTTTGCGTACTTATAGTATATATGTATAATAAACCCTCTACTGTTGTTCAATGGCCGAGGTCATTTTTGCACTCAATCGAAAAAAATATGTATATAAGGGGCCTTTGATTCAATTTTCGGTTATTTTATTATTTTAATTTATTTACCTTTTGTTTTTCATTTGAATTCTGATTTCTTTATTAAATAATATTAAAAGAATTTACAAAAATAATATGAATTTAGTAAACTTGAAATAGTAGAGTTTAAAACCCTTTGATACAGTTTTAAATTTGATACTGTTTTAAATTTAAACTGTTAAAATTAAACAAATTATTTTTAAGTAAATATAAATGCTGTCTTTCTTCAAACTGAAAATGACGCAAATGACATTCCTAAAGCAAATGTTATCTGTATGTAAGGGTGTGTGTGGTAAATTTGAGGCTTGAATTTCGCTTTGGTTTCATTAAATTACTTACACAGAAACTAAGCTCAACTATCCGTTTACTGTGTGAAAGGTTTGGGATGTTAGAATTGTCAAGCAAAAATGCTTTTAATTGGATTTCGTTTTGCCAGAGACTCACTTGAAGCAAACATTTAAATAACTATTTTTGTACGGTGTTCGTAGTACTCCTCTTTCACCGTCTGCCATTTTCCTCTCGTCTAAAAGTTAACAGTTAAGGATAGATATGCATTTGCACGCAAAGTGAAAACTTTACGCTTGTATGTGTGAGGGAGACATGATATTTGCACTAGATTTACCACATTTTGTCTAAAGTTACGATGCGTTTCAATTTAAAAATGGCTCTTTATAAATATAATCTGTATGTACCTGTGCGTGGGTATGTCTGTAATTCATCTTTGCTTTTTTTAGTACTAGCACACATACACTTTAGTACTAACATACAGACACTTACTTTTACTGATTGGGCCATCGATTTGAGTGGTTGCCGGGGAGTTTCCTGTTGTCGGTTATCGCTTAGAACTAAAGATTTTACACTTTAAGTATACAAAATCACCATTTATGCTTTGCAATTGCAATTGCAATTGAATTGAATTGAATTGAAAATCATGCATCCGCCCTAAACTCCACTCTCAAGTCACTTTAGGTCAGCTCGGGCTTGAGCAGCCACTGACCAATGCGCGCCAGGATGATGGTAATAGTCAGCAAGCGCAGTAAATTGCTCTCAACTTGGCCAGCCGAACTACGCACTATGAAAGGGCACAAAAAGCAATTAAACTAGGTGCCCAATAAGGCACACCCGCTGTACACTTACCCAGCAGCATGGTCTCGCGATTGTCAATAATGCCAGGACGGCGCTGTAGAATGCTTTCCCTGCCGCCTTTCCACAGCACAGGCGATATGCTAGCCAGGCACTTGACGCGCATTTCGCCGTCATGAAAGTGTCGTGGCTCCAACTCCAGCTGCAGGCCCAGTATCGAGGTGATTAGTCCGTGTTTATGCACAATATCGTTGTATTTGTGAAGGTACTGCTCTTCTAGTATCTGTAAGGTAAGCCCAGACATGTGCATTGTTTTTAGTAAGGTGAAGATGTCTGACTCTCTCTCTCTCTCTCTCTCTCTCTCTCTCTCTTTGTTTATTCCTATTCGCTTCCTCCGTATGACTGAGCACAAAGTTAAATAGCGTTTTCCTCTACGCTTGCTTTTAATTTTCTTCTTAAGCATTCGTATGACACACACATAACAACAACCACTATGCCGAAGTATTTCAGACGTGTCTGGCCAGCGCTCAAAGACTGTGCTAAAAGCAAATGGCCCTTTTGTTCGCAATGGAATGCTTAGATGTCTGAATTGAAGGTTGCAATTAAGAGAACATGCAGGCGCTTTTTAATTCCCCCCTTTAATGCTGCTGTTGTCAGCAAAATGGCGGTGAGTCCGATTAATGGTCTATGATGCACTCGCAGTATTCTAAAGCATATGTGAACAAAAATGAAGTCATTTGCTCAGACCTCAGCACCATAAATAAGAGAAATACGAAGTGAAGATACAAATTGTAAAATTGGAAAATAAATAGCTTGAACTTTTTGCTTCTATATTGGATTTGGAGTGAGATTGGATTGAGCGCGGATGCGGGCGCCGCAGTTTGGCACTTTGCAAGCGAAATTGTTGCCATTTGTTATGCGATTGGGTTGTCATTCTTTATGGCGTCCATAAAAATTACAAAGCTCCTGAATTCCAAAGTTGAAAGCGAGTTTAAACTTGAAAGGCATAAATTAAACATGCTGAAATGGTCGCAATTGTGTCTGTGCTAGACTGACATAAAAACATGCTGCAAATGCCAGCAGCTGTCCTGTGTCCAAACACAAAACATTGAACAAGGACGAGCAACTAGACAGACCCTATAAAACGGGGACATTTAAAATGCCCATCGCATTCCTAGTTAAAGCCAAAGACAGAAATGGGATCCAGAGCGAGCTCCAAATGTTCGTTAGACATTTTGTGGCCACAGCAAGGACAACGCAAGAATAATAACTTTCCTAAAATATCGGAAAAACATATTCCCCTGTCTATTGAGCATTAATTATTAGTTACAGGATCCTAAAAGCAGAGAAGTGGACTTATAAATAAATAAACCATTTATTTTTAAACGTTAATATGAGAAGCTACTAGACAAATCTTATTCAATAAACATTTAAAATGAAGTAAGTAATCCCCATTGGCGTGGTGCAAATAAGCCGAGAGACGTGCCTAATCGTACTTATTGATTTTTCTTTTATTTACACAAGTGGACACAGAAGGGCGGCCTAGGCAGCACTGGGCTCAGCAGCACCAGCAACATGGTACAATGAACTAACTCGTACCTTAACGCCTCGATTCACACAATTTGAGTAGCATGTAGTCGACAACTATAAAATGCATGGGGACCTAGTCCCTTAGTTGCCTCTTTATTCTTCATGCTCAGCTTCGGATCGGCAGCCGTTTTGTGTTCCGGCTACAGTATACGTGTAACGAGCTTTCAGCTAGATGGATGGCCCAGCTACACCTACAGAAAACTAACAACGTGCCATAAACCATTCCAAGGCCTATGGATAACTAGAGGGAGAGAGAGAGAGAGAGGGGGGGAGGTATTAAGGGTGAGGAAAAGGCGCGGAGATAGGCAAAGCTGGAATCCCAGCCCGGTACATGATTTTTGCTCGTGAAATAATTTCTGGCACCTACATCTGGCAGCTGTGCCAGACATTTGGATACTGCTCCCGTACCCACTCGACCCCTTGGACCATTGTTGGGAGTTTAAATATTTACTGTATGCATAATTTGAAAATTGTTAGTAGTAGCAACTTGTGTAGGAGGGACCTGGCGAGCTTACCCAAACAACAAGAAATTGACAGAAAAAGTTGGATTTTGGTGTTTTGGTCGTGTTTTAGAACCTACCGGTTGCTCATTGATGAACCACTGTAAATGCGATGCTGGGTGTGATTTCCCCGATGTGCAGTTTAAAGTTAAATATTCACCGATTTGATACTGATGTTGCTGCCCCCTAATGTGGGGCCCGTCGCGCGGTAAAACTGCAAATGAGAACCAGCCAAGAGATTAAATACAAGTTCATAAATACATACACCGTTTAAATTTCTTCATCAGTTCCATATTCCTTATATTTCTCTATTGACCAACTTAATAAAAAATTTATATTTGGTCAAGTACTCAAGATTATTTCACCATTATTGGTGAAGCAAGCAAGGCGCTAAAATATTTACAAATCCCAGTCTAAACAAATATATGTAGTCTAGCTACTCAAATAATACGAAAGCACCACTAGTTCAATAAAAAAAAATTGCACATAAGTTGTGAATATAAAAACGCTAACAAACACAAAATATGCTGTACGTGGCCAAGCTGCGGAAATATCCATTAAAACGGCATTTTAACTTATAAATCGTCGGCTTCGACCCATAGCTATAACTGCCGACCGTTACCATGCCAAATATATTGATATAGCCAGCGCTTCCGTAACGCCCACTGTTCAACCCGGGCAGCAGTTTTACATATTCCCTTTTCAGCTGGTGTTGTCCATTTGGCTTAAACAAATACGTGCATGAACATGCCTGTGCACAATACAAAAACTACAGTGAATAAAACTGCATGCGATAAACAAAAAAACATACACATTCGTGAAATTACAGATAAATGCTATTATGGAACCGCAGCTTATGAATGGCTTTTTAAAAGCATTCCAAACACTATACAAACAGCTCAGGAAGCCGCATTTACCGCTCTAAAAAAACTGCATAAAATGAGTTCAACTTTAAGCGATGTGTGTGTGCGTGTTCGTGTGAACATGTGTGTGTTCCTGTGGGTGTGACATTCTGTGTATTCATTAGTGTATGTATGTGTGGCATTGCACTTATTGTTATAGTCCAGAGTGTCTGACTAATAGATACCCTTAGATAGGCTTAAATTGGCCTGACACAGATATTTATACCTTCTACATATGGCTATACATTTACAAGTAAAATAAAGGTTTAAGTTTCAGCAACATTAAAATAAATAGAGTATTTTTTTTTATTTATTTAAACTGTTGACTTTGGAATTAAAAAGAAAAAGTTAAACAAATATAGCGACTCGAATGCTAACACCAATGGAAATGGCCAACGACCAAAACAAAATGGTTTGTAAACATGACATATGTAGTCGGTGAATTTATCTTAAATACATATACTAACTAAATGCCACATTTATGAAATTTTCATAAATAAATAAACCTATTTGTGTACCAATTCAATATTTGTCTGTATTTGCAAAAGAAATTTGTATGCAAATATTTGCTTAATGTTGGTGTTAGTCGGAAAGCTGGTTTGGGTTCTAGATGGAATGCTAAAATAATATCTGAAGGATTTTACTTACAGACAATGTCCAGGCGACCTTCGCCTTGCACTGAAGAGAAATTTGGCGCCTCGGCGGAGATTTCACAGCGGTAGAGGCCGGTTGAGTTGAGGGTCAGACCACGCAGCAGCACGCGGCTAGCATCCGACAGCTCCTCCTGTAAAATATAGGTAATGGTCTTGAGCGAACACTGAATAGTTGTTTACGTACAATCACGCGCACGCCTTCAACGCGGTAGCTGGTCTTGGCCGGACGCGCCTTTGGCACATAGCGATAGAACTCCTCGTTGTCTTTGTACCATTTAATGGCGTACAGCTCCTCGCCTTCCTCCTGAGGCTCTTCGTCCTCTTCGCTCTCATCATATCCATCTTCCCGTCCAAAGTCGGGTATGTAGGAAATGGAAGCGCTTGCGGTGCCACTGCTGCTGACACTGTTACCGCTGCCCCCGCCTCCATTGTGAACACTGGCGCCCACACGACTCCCCAGATAACCTGATGCTGCACTGCCCCGATAAACACTGTGGCCGTACGGCGACTTCTCGGGCAGCGGCGGATGGTGTCTGTCCGTTTGACTTTGATATTGCCTCAGTGCCAATGGCTGATGCTGCTGTCGACGCTGTTGATACTGCCGCTGTCCTTGATGCGTACGACGATGCGGCTGCCGGTCAAAGTCCGTATCCACGTCGTGTGGATCGCCTCCGCCATGTGAGAAGCGATCGCGAACTCGATGTCCGCTGCTAATTATTTGTGGTCCGTGCGTCCGATTTAGCTCGTATTGGCATTCCATAAAGGCCGACTCCCCACGCATCTTGAAGGCGGGTATGGAGACTTTGACCATGCGCACGCCCAGTGCGAAACCTGCTAACGAGAAAAAGCAAGCGCAGCTTGCATTAAGGGACTGCCATAATAATGCCTGCAGGTCATGCACCAAGCCAACTTTTGCACTGCCCAATAAACTTTTCATTGCGTATTATACGTTTCATTGCGTATTGGCGTAATTGATATTTGCCAAATGATATGGGTTCTGGCTTAGTGAGTGAAGTTCTGACAGAATATACATTTAACACACAACACCAATATGAATTCATAATTTATGAGTGAAAATCTGAAAAATTGGATGAAAAAGCGATGCATGTAGGCAATCTTAAATGCTGCCAATGAGGTTCCCTTTTTTATTATTCTGTAGCTGCATGGCTCGTAAATATTCATAACTGACTACGTAATCGCGCTTAATCCTTTGTAAAATTATGACGCCGGCTGCCACGTCGCACATCCTGGCCACAAATTACAAATCGCGAACGAAGAGCGCCAACAGGATATTGGCTCGCATCCTCGCCAACTGGGGTTGCTGCTGTTGGGGCCATGTTCATGCAGCGTTAAATTAGAATTTCAGCTTTCTGTTTTGTCCTTTTTTAAATAAACAATTTAATAACTAATAAAACTCTACGGCTTTTAAAGTAAACAAAAAAGTCGTTGAAAATTTAAAATTTGTTTTTTGGCTAACAAAACAATCGCAGTGCTGCCAACGTTTTATAGCTCATGTTCAGCATTCCACAGAAAGACCATATAAAAATTAGTTCAGCTATAAACTCATTTCAAATAATGAAATGGAGTACTATTCAGGTAGGTGCAACAAATAAAATATACTGAAAAATATTCAAGGACTCAACATGAGTTCGCGTACAGTTTTTGGGACAACTGTCAGGATTAAAGTCTTATTATTCTTTTAAAAATATACAGCTTTTCTGTGTGGCAGATAGTTTCACGCAGACTGCATATGGGCCCACTGAGATAGGCCCATGAAGTAACAGTTGCTTTGACACAAATGTACATTTGCACACATTGACACAAAGCAGCAGCGTCGACAAAGCAGACACATGTCATTTTGTCTGCATAACAAAGTACATTAATTAAAAGGAAAAATACTTAAAAACCCGCATCCACATCAGCGGCAACAGCAGCCAGAAGACAAAAGAAATGCCTGCAGAAACGACATGGACAAAATGTCTGGGCTACAATGGGGAAAACAACAGAACATCTGATTAAATGTTCTGGAAAAACAGATTTTACATAAAATGCTGAAGAGATTGAATGAAAAAGATATAATACACAATTCTTTATTATTAGATGGAAATCCATCATATACCAATCTCTTAACCTATTGTGGCTTGAATTTTATAAATGCTGCCATCAGTTGCTTTCAGAGCTCTAAGGTTTAACTCTGCTTAAAATTATGGAAAAGAATGCCCGATGCGGCGCTCTGTTTACAAGTTCATTTTGCATAAGTAGCAACAGCAGAGGGGGTGCGATATCCGGCGAGCAAAATTACTCAGAATACATGATTAATTATGTATGATTTTCTTCTCATTAACGCATTTTGAAACAGGCTATTCCCGCCTGGGTACCTGTGGTCTGCATCGTTCTCTGTAGCAGCCTTGTCTGAAATTAAACGCTTAGCATAATTCGATAACATTGTCAAACATGGGGAATGAACGGTGGAAAAGTGAAAAAGCGAGCAAAGCTACAAAAGGGGATAACAAGCAGCGTAAAATAGGTTAAATCGGGTGCAGCAGCGAAAAGCATCGCTTCCATCACAGAGGGCTAAACCGAAGTGCCTTGCCAAACAGCGCATAATGAAGGCCGCCATTAGAAGATAAAACAGGCCAAAAATCTATCAAAGCGGCTTACTTGGACGGCCAACAAGCGGACGGCCTCGGGGTCGGCCATAGTGAAAGGGACTAAAATTTCAGACCACTAATGAGTTCAGTGCCTGCACAGCAATTATACGGCCCCAGTCGGGAGAAAAAACTTTTTATCTGCCAAACCGTTTAGCGTAAAATTCTGTCAGTGCCAGGGCCAATCTTCTGCAGACAATGGCCTGCTTGGCAGCCTATCAGTAAAAAGTTACCAAAAACTGTCAAAATATTAAAGGTTCGAGAACAACAAATTCTGTCAGAGATATTCAAATGCCAGGCAATTAAACGTGATGCGCATTAAGGCCTCTCTTATTGCTCGTTGAGCTTGTAGTTGTTGAGCAGATTAAAGTGTCTAGACTTCATTAACATGTACATTTATCATTCTGCCCCTTATGCATAACGATGAGGTATTGACATTTTAAATTTTCCCTTGTGTATTTAAAAAGCGATTAAAAGACAATTAATGCTATTCTCAATTATGGGGAACTTGATGGCGCCCGAAAAAATAAATTTCTTGTGGACGCTGCTTGACCTTGACCTAAATATGAAAACAATCTTTTTTTAAAATATGAATTTCATCTGAGAGAATTTATAATAAAAAGGCTTTAGGTTAGTTTGACGCAGTAAGCGAGCAACAACAAAAGCTGCGGTGGGGACAGCACAGAGTCTAAAGCGTCCTGTGGTGCGGCAACTCATCAAAAACAACAACAACAATAATATAATAGAAAAAATTACAACAGTTTTCAGGCGCTTAGCTAGCTCAAAGGTAACACTACGCTACACATTCCATACTCATACGCCCCGTTGCTGTGCGATTGCGTGTGCATTTTTGTTTTGAGCCGCAACAAGCGACAACAACAATAACAAAAAAAAAAATGTATTCAAGTTGACACAAATCTGGCGCAAATCCGCAAACACAAACAGAAAGAAAAACTAACGAGAACAAAACAACAACAACAACAGCAACGACTTCAACAATGCAACTTTAAACGGGTCTGACATGACGAGCGATGCAAATGTATATAAAAGTGTGTTGGCTTACACTGTGATGGTGCGTGCTGTTGTATGAGAGAAGTACTCTTGACTCGCAGCAAAGCATTTATGAATAAAATAACACTAACGACAGCAACAAGCGTCTGACAAGCGATGCCAAATTAAAAGCGAAATAAAAAATTCGTTTGTGGCTGGCGTCGTTGCAGCTAAGCTTACACATAATTGAAAAAGTAATAACAATAAATGCAGCACCAGGATGAGCCAAGTTTGACTGAACCACAGAGCGTATGAGTGATGGTAGCCACGTCACGGAAATTGTAAGATATCATATGATTTGATGGCACTTGAAATTAAATACTGCTCTCATGCAACGAGAGACAGAGAGAAAGAGTCAAATACAAGAAAATTTGCTGCACAAATTGAATTGAGCACCGGGGACGGACCCCGGCACCCGCCGCACGTACGTTCGGTGACGCAACACGAAATAGCGAACGGTCTTGTTGCTCTTGTGGTAAATACAGCGTGGTGGCAGGATGGGAGCGAGTGCGTCACACCCCTTAACTGGTTCATTTGGCATGTGTGTTTTGTGCGCACTTTGAGTACGATTACAGGTTTGCAAAATGAAATGGAATTTATGCCAATGCCAATGCAACAGCAGCTGCAAGTCCCTGTTGGGGCGCGTGCGTCACCGCCGTAGCATATGTGGATATGCATATGACTGATTTCTGCAGGGAGCTACAGCTCCGAGCCAAATATTTATCAGCTGCAGCAAAAACCGAGCTACCTGGCCCTTCACAGTTGCAGCTATTGTAACTGCATTGAGTTTCAATTGAGCCAACTTCAAGCTCAACAGTCATGCAAAAATTCTCTTTAAAAATTATCATGTTTTATTTACGAAAAACTCTAAATGATCGTCAGGTTTATATGAGTCAAGGACCCCTATTTGTAACAGCAACACGTGCGTCTCACATGGAACATAATCTAAATAAGCAAAAGAAACAGCTGCTACGGGGAGTGAAGCATTGTGTATGGCTGTACCAACGGGCATATGCTGTTATCGGTACACACACGAAGGCAGCCAAAAATAACACAAGCCACAGAGACAACTGTGCGGGTGTGGTGGCGCCGTGGTGTTTAAACGCCAAAAGTGACTAAGTTCGGCAGTTACAATTTGCTTTTTATTGACTTGCAAGGTGCTGACAGGCGACACCCCGCGTCGACTTTTTGCTCAGTCGCGAATTTGGCAAATTCCGTACCTTCCCCCCACCGACATCTCCTGCAATTGGAAATTTTGACACTCACCTTGTAGTAAGCAGCAAATGAGCAGAACGATGCGCATATCGTTTGTGAGTTTCATATTTATGACATAATAATTCCTTACGTCAAGCTTGTGATACAACGCCCTACGTTGGGCGTGGCGCAAAAATTGGTATGCGCCTGGAGTTAAAGTTATCTGCGACTTTGGATCTCTTTGTGAGATGTTTTCCTGCAGACTTAAGTGATTTCGTCTTTTTCTTTTTCAACAGTTCCTCGTGTTAGTTTTTGTTTCATTTGTTTATTGGATTTGTTGGCATGGCTAGTTCGGCTTGTTTTGTTTGCATATTGTTTTGTGCAACTTTTCGCATAAATTTCAGCCTGTTGCCATTTATAGTTGGCATTGTTAAGAGTCTCGAGTAGAGAGTTCCAAGTCCCATGTGTAGACACAGCTAGTGGCTCATTAAATGCGAGTCTGAAGTCTGCAAAGAATATAAATAGACTTAAATAAGCTTTAAGCAGCATCATTTCAGCCTAAGTTGATAATTTATGTAAATGCAAAATATAGGAATTCAATATAATGAAATATAAACTTAAATAGGCCAATAAGATTGTTGAGAAAAAAACTGAGTCCTATGGCCAGCACATATCTTATGAATTCTACTATTCCCCGCTTTGATTGTTATTTTTGTTTCTCCAACACAAAAAATAGATAAACACAAGTGGACGACGCCGTTACTTCAACAAGGGAAATTATTGTTAAACATGAGCTCTTCAACTATTATTGATTTCCATTGACATTTTAAGGACTCTGATAGCAAATGTTCTCTTGACAAATATAAAGCACATCATTTATCTAGTCAAGTATGATAATGTGAACAAAGAGTGCTGCATCAATTTATCATAGAGCATTTAAGAACAATAAATTTTAAAATACACAAATATATAAAAAATAAAAATAAAAGCATAAAAACGGAATACCATGAAATTTAAGTAATAAATAAAATACACCCTGCCTTGTCCAAGCTCCTAAATCAAAGAGCATTTGTCGTGTTTTTGATTTAAAATTAAATACAAATCAAAAGTCATCACAAAGGAAACAAATGTGTGGCAGAGGAGCAGAGCGAAAATGTAAATGTTAAGTGAAACGTTATGATGTTGATGTCGACTTGGTTCCTGTTGCCCTCGTCTCTCGTTGCAATTTTTTTCGCATTTGGCAAATGAAACTTTCTGATGCCTTTACCCACAGACGCAGATGAATTTGTCTGTTCTAGTTCCTATTGCTGCCCCGGCGGGACACTATGCGCAGTTTCAGAAAAGTTTGTAGAGTCTTCTAAAGTTTATTTTGTATTCCAATTGCTTTTGTTGTTATCAGTGAACGAAAAATGCTGTGCCTGCGATTATGCAGTAAAAACTTTTGCTGCGCCGCCATTTTGCATTGCAAAGCGCGGGTACCCAAATTGGGCTGCGCGATGGGCGACACTACGTGACACGGCGCGACGAAAGTTTCTGGATTGACGGCATGATTGCATGCAAAAGAGGGTCTATAAGACTAAGGTAATGCAGCAAGCAGCATTTTTCCGCTGCATTTTCTGGGAAAATTGACTAACTCTTAAGTTTCTTAAATATGTGCAAACATTGCTGCAACAAATGTTATTCATCTTTGACATTCTTCAGGGGATTGAAAATTTGAGCTTTGTAACACTTTAAATACCGATTCCTATGCCGCATGTCTGTGGGAATATGGTATTTCCTTTTTTTGCCTGGCTATGGTCCGGCCAGAGTTGTGGCTCTGTTACCATTAGAATGCAGCTGCAGATTCACAGTCGACTGCAACTGCTGTTTTTGTTTGCTTTTCTCCTGCCCTCAATTTACTCACAACTCTGGCCCTGTCGTCATCTTCATCAGGAACTTTGTTGTGGTTCTTACTGCTGCAAAAGTTATTAAAGCTGCAGCCGCACTTTATTATTGTAAAACAAGCAAGCGCCACAACCGACAACTTGTCCCTCTGGTCTGCCATTTAGTTTGCAGTTGTTTATTTTTCATAGTTGTCTGAAGTTTTTGGGGTCATGTGTTTGAGTTTTTGTGTGCTGATTTGGTTTATCAAGTATACCTCAACTTTGTGATAGATAAAAAATGGCAATTAATACAAACTATTGCTTCTTATACGCAACATAAATACATGTATATATATATATATATATATAGATATATATATACAAGCAGTATATATATATATTATATATATGTTCACTGACAAATTAAATTTACGCGATGACCCACGAAGTACCACTTGCACTCCCTGACCACATGTCAAAGATGTCAAGCTGCCTATTTGTGCATAATATTGATTTTTGGTTTTGACGGACGACTGGGGACCCACACCAGATATTAACAAATTGACAAACCGTTTCACACAAATACCCACAGATATAATATATTCCATATATCTACAATTTGAGTATTGTATAAATATGTATGCTTGTTTTAGCTGCTCGTGTCGTCGCGCCTGTGCGGGCAGACCGTGCATTACCAAAAATCAGATTATAATTCAAAACAGCAAATTGCTGTTGGCTTAGGTCAAAATGTTTGACACTTAATCCAATTTAAATATAAATTTTACATTAGTAGGGAATACAAAATTAAGTAGATTACTAAAATTGCCTTAACGTCAGCTTTTATAATATTAAAATGAAGCGGGCTATCTGGCTGACATCAGTATTATAATATTTTATTATATATAAAAAGCTTCCATTTGACCAAACTAAGTTCAAATTTTCAATTTTTTCAGTAAGCTCAGAAATGTATTTTGAAACGCATAATTTCTTTAGATATTGTTCAAATTGAAGGAACATATATTGTAAATAAGTAAGCTTTGGCTTTAATAAATATAATTGATCGCCTTTCCATTAGGTATCGAAGAATTTTAATCATTTGTCTTTTAAGAATATCATATGTAGGGCGGCCAGTTATTAACAAACGACATATGACAACTGCGTGAGCCATTTATCATTTATTGGTATATGGATATCCATCGGCTAACATTTCTCAATTGTTGTAAAAAATTAATCAGGTTCCAGTTTGCAAGTGAAGCAGCTGTCAAAAACGTCTGAAACGTGTCAAATTCATGAGGGCCCATTGAAATATGATTGTGAGCGCAAATGCATCTGAAATCGTGAGACATTGCTATATATTTTACTTATAGTTGGCACTGAGGTAAGTCCTGAGAGGCGTCGAACTTTAACGGATGTTGAATAAAGCGACAAACACACAACAGATACACTGGCTCAAATATGTGCTGCAAAAGCTCTAAAACAAACATGATGGACGTATTTTTACGTTTCAGTTGTTAAATATAATGCTTGCAAATAAAACCAGCTCATAGCTTCATACATAAAAAAAATACTTCTGTGCCATGTGGGGGCAAAGTGTTTACGGCCTTTTCATGGTGCTGCAACGTAGAAAATTACCCAAGCCTAAACTAACCATAACATAAATAAACTATGATTATTTATGCACAGCTACGTGTGAGAACTAATAATCTGACATTTAGGCACGCACGCAGCCAGCGTCCTTTATTGCTGTTTACCTATTAAGAGTTGAATACTTGTTCATTTTTGTTAAACTCTGACAGCTGACATAAAAACTAAAAATTTTCAATTTCTTTGGTGTGTGGAATAATTTGAGCACATACACTAAAATTAAATCAACGTCAGGATGAAAACACCATGCAAAATGTATAATATACAAACAGTCAGGAAGACAGCCAACTATAAAAGAAACGGCATTCATTGGCAAAGAAAAAACTTCAATGTTTAATGGCAACGTCACCTTGCGTGCGTCTATGATGATTTATGTGCATGGCACATTAAACATAAATGAGTGCACAGTCCAATATAACAGACACAACAAGAGCTCCAACACCAAAAAGCAGCTCGGTTGCCAATGCTAAGCTGAATTGAGGCAGGTGCACGTCTCCATGCTATGACACAGTACTGCATGTTTCGGTTTTATGTGTGAATTAGGGTGGTGGTAACATTGAGCTATACTCTTTCGTTATTATTCTTTGTCGCAGCCTCGTAGAGTACTGCCATACTTGAAGCACGGCAAGGCTCTCTCTTTTCCTTGACAAGCAAAAGAGACAACAGCTTGTTGTTGCATTAAGAAAAATATTTTGTGTATATGTCACGTGATTTAGTTGGATTTTTTGAGTAATTGCTTTATTGTGGCACTTTCTACGTGACTTAGTACGTTTCCTTATTAATCGCAAATTGGTAAAAATTTTAATATATGTTACCACAGTCTTAATGCGGTGAGAGCATACTATTAATTAACGCCGTCTGATGTCTAATAATAGTTATTTTTACCCGCACACATACACAGCATCCAGTGTTTCCATACCAACGTTTTGTGGTTGCGGTAAGAGCTCCACGACGCCAGGTCCCAAACTGTCGTTGGGCAACCGCAGACGCGCTTCAGTAGGCAAAGCCAAAGTGGGGCTACCCTCAGAAGAGGTAAGGTTTACGCTTGGGTGTCAGTCACATAAAGTCAAAAAATTAACTATTTCATGGAAGACTTGTCGCTCAAGAAAAAATAAATATCAACACCATCCTTATGCGAAAGTCGTGAGATTGCCTTTCGCACCTTGCGCTTAAATTGCGTATGAGTTATGAGCTCGTTCATTTTCTTGATATTATTAGTCTTGCGTGTCACCCTAAGTAAATTTGATGTAAGACTTATTAGCATGAAGCGTGAGGAACTTGAAGCAATGTTGCTTTAAAATTAAAAGCAAACAGCTGGCATTCAGTTTGTGGCTATCCCTCTGGTTAAGCAAAAACAAAATTACGATGGAATAAAGGAACAGGCAAAATATGAGTGTCACGGCCGCTTATCTCAGTTAAGCTACTGCAAATTATTTAAGCCGGAAATTGCGAGCAGCGTCAAAAGGAAGTTTGTCTTAATGTACTAAAGTAAAATGTCGCGTAAGCTTTTGTTAAGCAGAAACAGCTTAACAAATTGTGTGCATAAAAAAAATATATATATATTACTTAATGTTTATTTGTAATCAAACAAATCGGTAATATTTTGAGTAAACTTAAGACATATATATGCATTCACAATATATTTCATGCTCACACCGTCGTATATCTAATGGAAGATTGCTTTTTCATATATATATATAGATTAAATTTGACCTGATCAAAAATTGTTAGTGATATTTTTTTACCAAGCCCACAATTCCGTATGACGAGGCAATGTCGGCATGACTTTGAACGATAAAAACTTTTACTAACAAAACGACCAAAAGAAGAAAAATGTAAAAATAAATTTTTGTAGACGTGAATTCTTGGGGAAAAATGACACATCATTTGAAAAGTTGCGGCACGGAAAGTGTAAAAAATATTCAAGTTTCGCTCAAGTGGCATCCACATTATTGAAAGAACGAAGCTGACGCCTGCAGCTTGAATATTTATGGAATTCTGAAAAAGGATAATTATGAAGTCACGAAGTAGCTTTTATTTTAATAATCAATCTAGAAGCAGAAATGGTGCGTAACTTGCGACTTATTTATATTTGTATGTACATAAGTGCATATCTGACGATATGTTAAGCTATTGTATTCATATTAAGGACAATCATTGTTTACTGTTGTTCGCCATTGTTTAATTTGCATATATTTTCGATTGAATTTTAATTGAATTTATGACGGGGCGCCAAATTGTTTGCCTATGTGGCGCTGTCTACCCCCATTATTTATCTTTTGTTATTGGCAAAGTAACCAAATCATTTTTGCCCCTAGAGTGTGCATTGTTTGTCCAATACTCCCGGTTCCCCGACCTCTGGCCCAATGCTAAGTTCGTTGCAATGTTTGCCAATGGGGTCAACGACTGCCTTTCCAGGGTTGCGAACAGTTGGCAGTTGGACTGCATGATCGCAAAGGTTTCGTGTACATGTGTTTCAAGCTTTGAATGCCTTTTCGATCTAGATGTCAATATTTTATTTGATTTACTCTCTTGCCACAACATTGTCAGTTACTGTTTTCATTTACCGCCCACGCATTACCTACCATTTTTGTTTTCCCTTAAGACTTAAGCACTTACATAATTAACTTTTATATTTTTCCCAGTGCTAGGTTTGCTCAGTCCTTGGCTGCCAATGCTTTATTCACAAGTATCCATCTAGCTGGAAATGTACTTCGTGTGCTTCGATTTTGATCCAATTATGGTTGTTGTTCTTTGAATTCCGCTGTTGGTTCAGCTGACGTTTTTGCACTTTTTACACAAACGCTATTGCCGACTTTTCTATTTCATGTCGTTTAACTGCCTGGACGAGTAATTTATGTCGTGACTTGCATCAGGCAGCCATCAAGCTACCATTAGACGTCACTCGTCAGCGAGTCTGAAACTTTAATTGCCCGCTCACTTTGAAAACAATTGCATACTAATAATTTTCACGCCTGGGCTACTGAGCTGCAGTTCACTTTCTCAACACACACACTGACGTGGCGAAGGCAATGGGCCAAGTTTTACGAAAGGCATTATGCCTACTTGTCGAATTAACGTTGGTATTTGGCAGCTAATTCCACAACCGCAAATTATTGTTAGCATACGATCGCATCCAGCCAGCCAGCCGCTGTCACGTCCGCGCCGTAGACCTAACCGATTCTGACTGAACTGTTCCTGGAACGGGCGCATTTAACATGTTCATAGCCGAGGAGCCGCACAACCTACAATCGGCAATAGCCGCGCCATCGTCCACATTCAGTTCATCGTGCTCCTTGCCATCTTCGGTTGAGCGTTCGGTTGACAGGAGCCAAGCGATTCGTGAGCTTTTTTAGTACACTGAGCGCTTTTGTATGGCCCGCTCATATCGTATGCGTTTTTAAGAGAGTGAAAAGAGGACAGTAAGCATGTAAAAGGTAAAGCATTAAGAGCGTATGAATAGGTAGAACAAATTACTTAAGTACGGTAAAACGTTACCTCAGCTCTATCCAACGAAGTGGGCCGTATTCTAGGCTAAGGGCTAAGGCCTTTGCCGGTTTTGTCATTTCAAATTTTAAGTCTTAAAGGCTCCAACTTGCTGGCATATATATATTTTATTAATTTAAATTCTTCTTGTTAGTGATATGACCAAATTTGACTGAGCACGCTTTTCCTAATGTGGCAGCCAGCAACCAAGAAATAGAAAACACACAAAACCACAGTGAGACACACGCATAGTGCACCCGTATCTATGTGTAGGTTTGCCTGATTGTGTTTCTGTGTGTGCTGAGCGGGCGTTTCAAACGTTGTGGCTTTGCAAAATTCTTAAAAAATATAATAAAAAAGAAAAATAGCGCACAAAGCTGACGTCAAGCAGAGCAAAACCAGGAGCAGCAACCAAAACTGTTAACCTTTTGGGGATATCAAGCATTTACGGCAGCTCGCGGCAACAGTAACATTTAAGTTTTTATCAGAACAAAATAAAGTTTTGCTGTACGGATTGCGCCGCCCACAAAACAAACACAAGAGTAAGGCAGAAGGCGCCTGGCAGCCACAAGTGCGCGCGCTTTGCCTCGAAGGACGCTTGAGGACTTAAAGCAACATTTTTTGTTTTTTCTTCTGTTCGTAAAAGTTGCTTATCCCTTTCAATTCGATTTTTGCCAGAGAACTTAAGAGGGATTTAAATTTAGGTACAGTAGCGGTAACTATTCTTCGTTCAGGTGAGTCAGAAAAGTTGGCGGATGACGCCGTCTAGACGCGTTTCGCATTATTTCCGCAACAATTAAATGCAAATCAAATGTGGGACGAGTGAAAGCTGGTATAAACGTGAAAACGTGAAAACCGTTCTTCATATGCGACATTCAGTGAACCATGTGATCGTCTAATTTGATTTGCATTAAACTGCTTGAATGACGCTTTGCTCACACCTGCTCACACCTGCTCACAGCCACAATGAGCAAAAAAAGGAGCCGCATTGGAAGCAAGCCGGAGGCAACGAATATGCCAAATACTATTTTACCGGCTAAAGCAAATGTCTGTAAGTGTCCCAATAATGGTATTTCCACTGATCGACTGGCTGGCATTGAGGACATTGCCCAGTGCGACAGCTCGGGCGTACCATTTATTTTGGTCGATGGTGTATGTATAAAGTCTCGACAGCAGCTGCAAGCGGCGCTGTCAAAGAGAGAAAAAAAGAATATGAAGCGCATCCAGAAGAAATGCTGCGTGCTTCCTTGGCTGGATCACACGAGCCCTGCAACTGATACGGTACCTATCACTGAGTCGGAGAAAGATGCTAAGGAGGAAAGTGACTTCCTGGCAGATATGCAGCGACTACAGCTAGACATGCTGAGAGCTGATGGAAAACCCGTAGCATATTTGGCAACAGGCTCGATTACGCCTATTGCGCATGCCACCAGTGTTGAGGATCTAGTGCCGCAAATGTCAAGAATGGATGAAATCCGCATACAACTAGAGAAACTGCGCGAACAGCAGCAGAGCGATCCGATTACAGCCACTCCACTGGCAGAGCAACAACGCATAAGGCGGCAAGCCACGTTTGACATTGAGCGAGATGCGCCGATTGAGACGTCTGCATCAAGCATCTCCCTTGACTTCCAGACCCCCATCTTTTCCCAACAGCGTCTGATTCGTGCCACAACCAGCAGCCAATTGCCGACAATTGACACACGACGGACCTTACAAAGGATGAACAGCACGACCTGCTTGTGCAAAAAAAGCACCTCCAGTATGGTGCTGGGAAGTAACAAGTCCTGCAAATTAGAGCCCTTTAATACTCAGAGATCACCTGTGTCACCCATTGTCAATCAAATCGGTGATCTGCTCATGCAGTTGCCACATCAACAACAAGAGAATCTGCCGCGAAACAGTGGACCCTTCTCCTATGTGGTAACCATTTCGCCGAACGTAGGCGGCACTAGCTGTAACGTAGAGCCGCTTCCATTGACCAAAACACGCTCGCTGACGATTCCAAATGCCTCACGCTGTGTAACTGAAACGATTAAGAGAGATTCGCCCATGGATATAGGTGCTGCCCCATCAACACTTCAGCCCAAGTCACGAACATTCTTAAAGATGCCTAGACTGTTCAAGAAAATAAAGAAGTGATTTGCAAACAGTGCTGACGAGTTTATTCGCAAGCGGCAGGATGAGTAGTTAGACATAATGTCTCTTGGCAATTTCATTGCTATTCAAACTTGCCGTTGTTATCTATTGAACTCTCATCAGTTTCAATAGTTATTCGATTAATATATTTCGAAATAAAAAAATATTTAAACGAATAACCAGCTGCTCCATTTATCTTAAAAATAAATGTCTATAAACACTCGCCACATAACAGACATGTGGTCAAGAATTTACTTTGTCTAAGTTTCTTAATGATGGCATAGCAGCCGAATGTGTACGCTAGATACTTATTATGTTCTATGGACGAAAATTACATCTTATTTTCCCCCAAATCTTAATGAGCAATATATTACCCAAACGACTCTCAAGCCTTTTTTGATGCAAAAACTCGTTGAGGCAAGTTCATTGGGGTGCCTAATTGCTGTACACACTTTACCTGCCACGCACTTGTCGCACTTGCATTGCACATTTCCGAGGCATCAGTACCAGGGTACAAGAATGTTTCTCGTTTGACAACGTTTGCTTAATTGTGTTAAAAGATCCTTAAGCTATGTTTTGCCACTTTGCCAGAGCTCGATTGTAAAGTGCCCTCGAGCTTGACCAGCTCTGGGCTCTCCTCAGCCTGGCTCTACAGCATCTCTCATTTCCTGGCCCCTATCAAACTTATGACAGATTTAGCAAAACGTCAGTCAAGTGCTTGGCATGTCTGTTGATGTTGTTCTTGTAGAAGGGGCCTCTCTCGGGTCCAAAAATAATTTGTAGCCTTTCTGGTTGGGCTCAAATTGCAAGGTTGACTGCTGTTCGGCTGGGCTGCCGGCAGCGGAGCAGCAACAAAGACACAACTTTCAATTAGTTTTGATTAAATATCTAAACAAAATTCTCTGTGGCGTGTGCGTTCTTTGAGGGTTTGTCATTGAATTTGCCCAGCAAAACAAAATTAAAAACAACATCTAAATTAATGCCACGGCTTCTAGCGGAGGGCGTGCTTGCGTTCACTCAAAGAGCTGACAACATTTGCAAATTGTTTTAGTTTTTTCTCGCATTTTCTCTAATAAATTTCATGATTTACTGCGGCCAAACAGGATAATACGCAAAGGACAGTCGACAACAGCAACGAGACGTAAAAAACCATTTCGCCACATTGTATGTATTTCGAGTTGTCGAGTGGGCGTTGGAAAGCTGCAGCTAAATAAAGTTTGCAATTAGATTTGGTAAAAGTACCCACAGAATCCGCGTGGACAACATTCCAACTACCCAGCCACCCCTGTGGCCACCCATGCGAGCAGCACACAGCCCAATTTTGAATGTAGAAACTTTAATCGGAAAGGCGACAGCGGCGCATTTCCGGCGTTTGTTGATTTTTAGACTGCATTTCCTGCAGCAACAGCGGCAGCAGCAGCAGTAGACAGCAGCGGCTAAAACACGAGAGCACTGCGGTCGACATCATCAAATTTTCTGCTTAGCGGTTACCAAGGACAAAGGACACACACCGTAGGCCGCACAGCAAATGCCAGCCCAGCTCCCGCTCTAGGAAATCTGTTGCCGAGGGGGCTTTAATTGCGGGCACAGTCTGGGGATTTCTGTTTGATCCCCACTAGACCTCAATGCACTTTCACTCGGCCCCCATTTGAGTGCACCAGAAATTACATAAATTTTTGATTAGCTCGCTTAATATGCTGAGGCAGAATTGCGGCGGCATCTTGAAATTCCCGTTGGTTGACTGCAGAGTTTGAATTTAAGCACTGTGTTAGCCTCATGATAACCCTTTGGACACAGCATGTGTTAAATAATTAAATTATTATGTATACACTTAATCTTTTTTAGTCATTGCAAAATAAATAAGTCACGCAATTAGAATGCATAATAGTAATTACGCCATAAATTTCAAGTCTTCCTACCTTATGGAAATGACGGTGGCGGTGAGTTTCTGTCCTTGCATTGTTGCCGGTTGCATCGAGAAATGAAAATAAATTGCAAGTCGCCAGCGTGCTGTGTTTTGGGCTTCCGGCGTGCTCCTCACTAATGGCGGCACTGGGTACTGGGTCACGTTTACATATTTGAGTACTAAGTTGAGCACTTGATCAGCGAGTGCCAGGCGTGGGCGAGAGATATACATCCTTTGTCAATGTGTGGGTGGGCTTGTGTGCGCTTGTGCGACAGCAAGATTAATAAAATTTATTATCATGGCGATAGTTCAGCCAGCAGGCAAAACAAACTAACAAAACACCCCACATATCCATCTGCGGGGCACACATGTATTTATGTGCCCGACACTAGACCAACAGGGAAAACATATCAAAATGAAGTAAAATTCATTTTACAGTACACACCAAGCTCAAACTGAAATTGCCATGCTGCAGAATTGCCTTGAGATCCAACAGCAGGATGGCGGAAGTTCGACGCCCAAGTGGCACCCGCGATAATAGTGCTCGGCATGTGTGCTAAAGTATTAGCATATAAACATATAAACACGCACACACACTG